ATGTGTGATGAATACGAGCATTTGTACTCCAGTCGTGGATGTTTAATATGTATTTCTTTATAAATATACTTATATATGTACAGTATATGTATTCTATCCGTTACCCTAGTATCCCATAACACAAGGCTTATAGTGCTTAGCTTGGGGCTGGGCTAATTGGTGTGAGTGAATATTTATTTATTTATTTATCATCATCATCAATTAATCCCTACTGCTGGGGCACAGGCCTTCCCTATGGATGGAATAGGGAGATTGGGCCATGGCCCACCGCGCGGGCCCAGTGCGGATTGGCGAGTACTAATGACTGCAGATGTAGCCGGGACCAACGACTTAACGTTTGACACGGAGGAGCTCAAGATAGTAAATTATTTGGTCACCCATCCAATGACCGACCAATGCGAAAGTTGCTTAACTTCAACGATCGCAGTCGAACGCGCTAACCACTTGCGCCATCGAGCTCCTCACGGTACGCTCGTACTAGCATCAAATAAAATATGATCCGACTCAACTACGTAAGCAATTCACACACACGCACACGTCTGTATATAAACATTCAATCGAGCGAGCGAGACAGAACTGTACCCCTAGCACGAACCATTATCGAATTCGAATAGTTTGCAAACCGAAATGTCAATGTCAATGGGTACTGTACGCTTCAACGCAGCGTGAGCGAAACGGCGAGTCCACACGGCTGAGCTGTATTGTTGTCATTTTCTTGATAACAAAATGGCGATTACGTAAATAACATTCACGACAAACCATGACATTTGAGAAAAAAATGTTTTTCAGTTTTACGAATGAAAAGATTTGCCGATGCATTTGTTATTTGATTTTGAACTTTTTGTGTTCTTTATAAAAGCATCGTAGGCATTGTTTTATCTTTATAACACAGAATTTACGCAATGCTATATTGAGTGCACATGCAACGTGAATGTCCAATTGTGACTAAAGCGAATTGTGGTCATGCACCACAATTTAAGCGGATCACTTTTGAGCCGCGAGTGCCGTATCTTCTCTTTTTGTTTTAATCTAAGGTGTCGCCATATGAAAACCTAGATTCAATCTGATCCCGGTATGGTAAAATGTTTGTATTATGCATACAAGCATTTGTAACGGAGCCATGGCTGTTTGTTATAATATATTTCGACAAAAATATACATACCTACGTCTAATATCCAACACTCACACCAATTAGCCTAGCCCCAAAGTACGCACTGTAGGCTTGTGTTATAAGATACTAGGGTAACGGATAGATATACTGATACATATATGAGTATATTCATATAGAAATACATGTTTAACATCTGGTGTGACGAGTGTTAATAGCCCACACCTGGGGTGGATTACACCAAAATGATAAATTATGTGGTACAATACCAGGAAAAAAGAAGCGCCCACTTACCTCCAGGACGATGGGTTGCGTGGTCTCCGATGGGCGTAACTTGAGGCGGCTGGACCCTGATTTGCCGTCATCCCAGAAGGCGTATGTCACAATTATATATGTTATACATTCTCACGTATATTTTAGTAATCTTATAGAGTCCGAGAGAAAAGTCGTATTGACAGTTTTTGAAGGAAGAAAGTAAGTCACTTTTTTACATGAAAGGCACCGGTGGTTTTCCAATTACAGAGCATAATACGACTCAGTGGCGCACAATGCCGAATTATGCTGATGCTTAATTGGAACGTGAATTAGCTTTCAAATGCACCAGCAGAGTGCGCTAAGTTCAGTGTTGAAAAAAAAGTCAATGTTTGTACCTTCATCCATATTTATATTTAATTTTTAACACAGTTTGAATTAACTTTGATTATTAAAAAAAAAACTATAATGAAACGAAAGTTTTAATAATTTTTCAACAATAAATAATATTACTAACAATAACATATAAATAAAACCTTTCGATCAATGCCAACTTAAAGAAAAAACACTTGTTAATTTTCTGTCTCTGAGTTGGTACGATTGCACGCATCACACGAAAGCATTACTTTTGAGAGTGCTCGATTGTGCGAAGCGTTGCTGTAGTTGAAACACTCAACGTTAAGCATTATGCCGCATAATGCACTATAATGCTGTAATTGGAAAGCTACCACCCTAAACAAGTGGGCGCGAGAAGTTTTCCTGGTATATCGCCACACGTAACAAAATAGAAACATAATTTTATCAATTATATCATACAAACATCAGCCCCCACCGGGATTTGAATCCGGGACCTCTCGAGTAAACGACACCTTGAAACTCGGCCTACAAACCACTCGGTTACGGAGGTCAAACCAACTAATCTTACGACCCATTCGGATTTTTTTATATGCCCGGATTTCTAATTTATCCAGGTCGAATAATGTAATAATCAATAATAATCAATAATCAAAATAAAATAACAAGCACATATGAATGTCTAGAAGCTACGCCATCAGTTCGTAAATCTACGACGGAAGACCTTGTACTGAGAAGAACCGGCAAGAAACTCAGCAAGGGCTGTTTTTTTCTCCCTGTTTTATCATTTACAGAGTCGTCAAGTTGAAAAATGACTTCAGAGATGATTCATGAAGTCACCATTCATTACATAATGTGAAATTATACATTAATTGTTCACCTGCATTTTGATTGCTGTGTCACACAGTATAAATACAAACAGAGTTATTTATAATAGGTGTAATTAAACATTTACATCTTAAATATCAAAGTAGTTAGGGCAGACTCATCTCCGCTGGCAGCACCCGTTCACGAGCATGACGCATGAACCAGCCATCGCTTCGCTCAACCATATTTTAGGGAACGTAACGACCCGCCTCACACGACACCACCGAAGAGACTTTTAAGAGAGCATGACTACCCATAACCACCTATATCAACCACAACATATTTACTTAAGCTTAAAGTCATTTATCGGTAGGACACTGCAAACAATTACAAAGCAAAAACAATGGAGAAATCATGACCACGCCATTTTGTCATTCAAATCTTCTTAAATAGTCTGATATTCTTCCTTACGTAATCAGCTTTAAATACAGCTTTTCAATAGAAGTATCATCAACACATGATTCATAATATATATCATATAGAAATACCCGTTGGAATGGTTGGAACAGTTCAATTCAAACCCAAGCATTTTTGTCTGTAATATAATCAGACACTTTATAATAAGCATTCTTAATAAGAGTTTTTTTAATAGTCGATTTAAATTTAGTCAGGCTCAACTCTTGAATATTGCTTGGGACTTTATTGTAAAAGCGAACACAGAGGCCTCTAAACGAATTATTAATTTTGTGGAGCCTAGTAGCAGGTAAAGTAAAGTACTTACATAAATAAAAAAAACTGTTAGTCTATTATATTTATACTAGCGGCCCGCCCTCGCTTCGCTTCGGTGTAGAGCTGTAGTGTAGACTATAGTTTTGTTCGCAGGCTTGTATTATACACAATGACATTCTTCTAATACCTAATTACAATAGGCACGCGCCTCCAGGCCCCCCGCCCGGTAGCGTCAGAACCGCTATGTCCCTGACTGATGTATACCATTTTACAGTGTACAATACTGTAGTACATTATTTTGATCTATCTCGTAGGGTTCAGCCAGCGTTTGCAATGTAAGCGCAAAAAATGTGTTTATTTACGACCTTACATTAAAAACCTCTAAAATTATCAGTGTTTCTCTACTATATTATGCATGTATTATACATATGAACCTTCCTCTTGAATCACTCTATCTATTAAAAGAAACCGCATCAAAATCCGTTGCGTAGTCTTAAAGATCTAAGCATACATAGGGACATAGGGACAGACAGCGGGAAGCGACTTTGCTTTACACTATATAGTTATTAAGCATTTAACTGCTAGATGTATAAATTTAAAGAAAATTTTACTAGAAAGAATTCCGCACAATCCAGGCAGCAGACGGAACTTAAACCCGCACCATAATGCTACCGCAGCCTTAATTGCCGTGTCGAATTTTCTCTAGCATTTTTAGGCTATCGCCATCGCCATCTTTTCAGATTGTAGGCAACCCACAATGTCCAATGAATACCTTTACAAGTATCAAACATCTGAAATAAATAGCAATTATAGTTAGATATTTGTTTAGGCATTTAACTGCTGGATGTTTAAATCTAAAGAAATTTTACTTGAAAAGATTCCACGATCAGGCAACAGCAGGGCTTGTTTACCGGTCAATTTACAAACCTAAAACAGTGTCAAGTACATTAAGAGCGTTTTATTTAGGTTTAGCTCTATTGTAATCGTCAAAAAACCGGTTTTCCTAAAAAGCGAAATCAAATAAGTTTTGAATTAATTCAGCGGTTTTTAAAGGGTTTCGTTTCGCTCTTACTGGCGGCTGAAATAAATACACAACTACAAAATGAATAACTTGACTCACTAGACGCTAGCAAACGTCAATAAATGCAGCAATCTTTGAGCATTAACAAGGTGTGACTTGATTAGTTCAAACAAAACAAACTACAAGTGATGCCGACGCGTTCACGTGTCGCTCTGGATTCAACCGGTTTATTAAGGTTTCAATCAATCAATCAATACTTTATTGCATTTTACAATGTTTTCTTAGATCTTAGTAGGTTTAGGTAGGTTTTAGGTACTTTCATTTCGGACGCGCTCCAAACGAAACCTTACTAAAACCGGTATTAACCTTTATTTACCGGTATTTTTGAAACCGGTTTCAAGCCCTGGGCAGCAGACGGGACTCGAACCCACACCCTCCGCTATCCGGGCGGATGCACTGACTATTATGCTATCGCGGCCCCAATTGTCCACGTCGAATTTTCTCTATCACTTCTTAGCAAACTGGCACCATCTTTCCACATTGTAGGTAACTCACAATGTCTAATAATGGTGTCGATTCTGGCGTGATTCTCTAAACTTAAAACTAAATTTAACACCAGTCTCTCCTTTTCATTCTATATAGAGAATGACAGGGATGCACTGTTGTCAAATTTAAGTTTAGCTTTAGAGAATAATGCCAGAATCGACATCATTGTCATTTCATTTCCAGGTCCAACAAACTGAAAGCCTTCTGGTTCAGCATATCGGATGAGCCACTGCCAGCTCTGGACTTCCTGTCAGCGGCGCTGCTATCAGCTGAGTACGAGCGGGCCCTGGGTCGAGCGCTAGCAATGCCAGAGTGCAGACTAATACCCTTCTTTGGGGCTTTCCTCAGAGAACTCAGGTAAATACTTCTAAAATTCTTTATCGCCTACTAAATTAATTTATGGAAAAACTAAACTATTTAATCTTAAACAACTTTACATATATAACACCTGTATTTTAGTAACTAGAAACATGTGGATAAATATTATAAATATGAAAATAGTGATCAGAGGCGACGAGCGTGCCAACATTGTTTTTGACAACGCGATCATCTTATGGAGCTCCGTGGATCGTTCAAAGTACCTTTCGAACAGATGTCTAATAATGGTGGATTATTAACCACTAAGTGGTTAATAATCCACCATTATTAGACACTAACATTCATAACGCGCCCGCGGCCAACTTCATGGTGTTACTATTGTGTTACAGTGATGCGCGCGCATCTCGAAATTTCACTCACATGATTTTTTCATAACGCGCCCGCGGCTAACTTCATTATGTTACTTTTGTGTTACAGTGATGCGCGCGCATCTTAAAATTTCACTCTCATAATTTTTTCATAACGCGACTAAAGAAGTATAACTTCAAAAAATATTCATCATCATCATCAACAGCCTATCTTAGTCCACTGCTGGACATAGGTCTCTCCAAATGCACGCCACTCAGATCGATCTTGGGCTACTCGCATCCAGCTCCTGCCAGCCACCTTGCGCAAATCGTCACTCCATCGCGCCTGAGGACGTCCTACACTACGTTTGCCCGCGGTCTCCACTCCAGAACTCGTGTACCCCAACGGTTATCGGTTCTTCGACAAATATAAATAAATATAAAAATATTCATACTGGAACCATTCAGTCTAACTTAATATTAAAATAAAAGAGAATTTAAGCATTCCTTATGAAACACCAACAAATTACAAGTTATTAATACACGGACTTGTTATGGGAGGAAAACAATATTATCTGAGGGTGTCCAACTGTTTAACGAGCTTCCAGATGAAATAAAAAAATGCGATTGTAAAAATACATTTAAAAGTAAATAGGGGTGATGACGGGGTACAGTAAACGAAATTCTATTTAGTCCGTCAGTTAGATGATCCAAAAATAATGGACACGTATTTTATCTTTGGGCAATTAACCCAAAAAATGACAAAGTTATAGCGCGTCAAAGTTTGGGAGTAGGGGCTCGTGACGTCACTTTTTAGTGAATATTCGCTTAAAAGTGTACTCAAACGTGACGTCATGCGACTTTTCAAATCAATATATTATCTCTGCAATGTTTATATTACGTGAAAAAAGAAAAAATACGTGTCTAATACTTTATCATAATCTACCTGATAAACGAAGAAAAGAAAATAAGTCATCATCCCTATTCAAAGGGGTTTTCTTTATAACTCCAATTGGATAAATTAATAGAGTCTGTGCGGAAAGAGAATTGCCGTGGTGAAAAAAGGGACTAACATTAAGATTTTTATTTGGCAATCAAATCCAGCAATCTGTAAAACGTCAAAGTTTTGTATTGATACGAATTTGTTTGTTGTTGTGATTTCTTGCGGTTTTTTGTATTTAATCATGTCTAAAAGGGGTAAAACCTTACAAATACGGTAGAAAAGCACTACAGCGCCCTCCAATCTAAATCCCATTTTCTTTCCGCACAGACTCTATCATTTATTTAATTTATTTCTATATGTCAAACTTTAAATTTTTACTCGAATAATTTCCTAGACATAATTTCAAAATTGTTAATGTACGCTCACCCTTTGGTAGTAATGAGCATGCAGAAAGATGTGAGGATTAGAAGCTGTTGTCTGTGGTATTTATATAGAGTTGTGCTTTGCTGGTATTAAATAATAATAAAATTTATTTCAGACTTTAAATCCATATACAAGTGTTAGTAACAGACGAAATCTTATTCTAGTGTTAGTAAATGAAAAAAGTACAATCGAACACAAATACAACAAATAACAATATAACACTCGTCTGTTATTGTAATAAAGAATGAATGAATTAATGAAATTAAATGAAAAAATACTTTATTCAGAAGTCGATGATGCAAGTAGTAAGCGCGTTCGCCTGCGATCGTTGAAGTTAAGCAACTTTAGCAGGGGTCGATTATTGGATGGGTGACCAAAAAATTACTTTCTCGAGCTACTCTTCTTCTTCGGGTTGGTGGCGCGCTTCACAATACACCGCCATTTCCTTCCGCACTGCAGCCTTCTTCGTGCACTCATGAAGTGGACCGTTCAGTGCCGCTTTTATCTGATTGGTCCAGCGCATTGGTGATCTGCCGCGCGCCCTTACGCCCTCGACTTTGCCCTGCACCACCAGTCGTTCCTTTGATACATCTCTATCGGCGAGAGATGTGGCCAAAGAAAGTGAGAATTCGACCTTGTACGATGGAAGACTTTGTTTGATAGACACTTCCTGAAGCTCCTACGTGCTTCGAAAGGTACGTTAAGCCGTTGGTCCCAGCAGCATCTGTAGTCTACCCACCAATCCACACTGGGCCCACATGGTGGGTCATGGTAGCCCAGCAGTGTCTTTAATAATTTTCACTATCTTATTACAATTTCATAATATTTGTATAAGTATGTTTATGTTTGGCTTTAGGGATAAAAGTAAACTGAAACAGCCTACTATATCCCCACTGTTGGGGCAAAGGCATTCACTATAGATGGAATAAGGAGATTAGGCCGCGACCCACCACGCTGGCCCAGTGCGGATTGGTCGGCTATCAGCTTAGCGTACCTTCCGAAGCACGGAAGATCTTGACATAATAAATTTTTGGTCACCCATCCAATGAACGACCATTGCAAAAAGTGCTTAGCTTCCATGATCGCAAGCCGATCGCGCTAACCCTCTGTACCATCGAGCTCCTCAACCTCCTCCTCAAACACAAACAAATAAAGAAAGAAAGAAAGAAAATATTTATTTGAGACAACATGTGTAAGTAAGGTGTTATGATTTTAGGGGTGCATAACATGTCGTGCTGATATGGGCATACAAATTTATCAAGTTATTTAAATATGAAGTCAAAAATCTTAATATTCAATAATAAAACATGTCAAATTCAAATGATTCCAATTCAATAAAAAAATGTTAAAATTAATCAAAAAAATAGAAATAATAATAATCAAAACATAATTACAATTCAAAATATGTCAATAATAAAACTAATAAAATTAGTGTACAATGCTTTTCAAAAAAAAACTCGCCAATCAAACATACAGGCGGTATTACCGGCTCTGTTTACATATTAATCATCGTACCAAGCATCCTGTATGTTGTTTTTAATTGGTGCAACTGTTTTTTAGCCTCCATCTGCAAATTGACTGCGGCGAAGCGAGAGGAGCCCAATTATTCCTACAGCACGCTGTGCTACGACGACTGCACAATTCTGATACTTGCAGCAATTAGTCTTGTTGACACAGCAAGTGCACAAATATGATACTCGCGCGACAACTAATTAATTTGCTTATTGAACACTGGCAATAATAATTAGTTTTCAATACGATATTTCAACAGCTTTTAAGTTTTTATTTTGCGAATTAAATTAATAATTTAAATCGTTTTAAATCATACTTGCCGTGGAAGAATACTATACTTGATTCTCTTTTTTTCAGAGAGATCCTGGCAGCAACGCCAGCACTTACCAGCCATTCAGTGGCAGCAACCCCAACACACAGGAGAGACTTCAAACGAGAATCAGTCAAAGAAGATAGGTGCGTTCGCCATTACTATCTTAATTTATCCTTAGGGAAGAAGAAAAAAATTTGTCTCACTTTTTGATATAAATTATGTAAGTTAACTACTGACATAAATCGAGACCATTTGTTTAAAAATATGGAAAACGACAACAACTTAGTTAACTTGACACTTTCGAGGAAATCTATTTTGCCATTTTCCTTATTGACTGACATATTACAGTAAAACCCGTTTAAGACGATTTTACAGGCACTCAACCAAAAACGCGTCTTAAGCGGGAAAGCGTATTATACGGGGTTGCGGGATAGGGTAATTTCGAATTTGTATGTACAATATTTAAGAATTATGTATATTATAAAAAATGTAGTGTATTATTATTTATTATTACGTCATTTAAATTAATCACTTATTTTAGTTTTTCAAAAATGTTTTGAGGTATTAGCAACCCTTCTTGAAAATCTTGTATTTTCAACATAATGTTACGTGTCGGGATGGGGTTCGAAATTATATGCCAGTTTACGCTTGACAGTTCTTTATTCACCACACAGTTCACACAATTAACACACAATGTTAATTACAAAACACTCACTAAACACTGTATTTCACTATACATGTCTCTAAACAATCTCACTTGAACACTTTTGTTACACTTAGATCGCCTTTGGATTCGCTCCGAAATCGCTGTTGAAACTCAACTGTCCTTGCGCGGCTCCAAACGCGCTTATATACGCCGATCGACGCATTCTAGAAAGTACCTGTTAAATTGAGAATTACCTAGCACCCGCGAGTACGAAATACCTACCTATACCTACGCAAGTAACACGCATAACTTGTAAACAAGTGCAGATGTCGTTGCACTTTCATCCTTACGCCGCGCTGCATAAGGCGCATTTTAGAATGAGCCGCAATACTCGACCTCTATAGCGACCCGCGGTGATCTGGCAAATTCGATCTCTGGCACTTTCGCGGTTACATTTCGAGAGCGTTTGTGACAATAATTTTACTTTTGCAGTGCGTCTTCGCTTTGATTCAAAAAAGGCAACTTAGAAGTTGACTCATCTTATACTTGATCATTATCATTTAGGGCCACTTTTTGTGTGTTATTCACATTCTCATTGAATTTTACGCTGCTGCAAGAAGTAATATATGTGGTACGTGTTGGCGATTTAGGCATATTAAACTGGATGACGAATCGTATTAAGCTTTAAGAAATGAATGAAAACATGTCTCAAGTTGCAGGGACTGACACAAAATGGCGTATTATGCGAGAAATCGTATTAAGCGTGATCGTTTTAGACGGGTTCTACTGTAATTTATATCAGTAAGATTTCATTCGTCTTTTAGACGCTCTTCTTAAAATATACTAAATCTGAGTTACAATGTTTTCCACACAGGTGTAGAAATAATTTAAATGGCCTATCCTAAATGAAGAAAGATAATTAATAATCCCATTTATAAATCTAAAGAAATGTTTGCTAGAAAAAAATCAACACTGTCCATTACAAACCTGCACATTCCGCATTCCGGTAATCCAAGCTGTCCGATGCTTAAACTCCTTCCATTACATAATTTAGAATATAATATTAATTAAGATATATGCTACTATGACGCTCATGTCTAAAATATCAATATAATAAGATCCCGTTTATCTTCCAGAGGTTCACAAAAGAAGGACCCAAGAAGAGAGAGCGGTAAAAGAGTAGACCAAGGCACCACCACAAGTCCTCTCCGGGATAGCTGTAAGAGAGACGCAAGGACCAACGAACCGAGTAGACAAGTGGTAAGCGATAATAAACTTTAACACGTTACCCTAAAGCACCTTTTTCTCTGCTGCTGGTTAGCGAACAGCGCCATCTATCCACTTGCATAGGTTGCAAGTTATTAAACCACATTTGCATTCATCATCATCATCACAGCTTATTAATGTCCTCGCGAACACAGGCCTTCCGTATGGATGGAATAGGGAGATTGGGCCGTGACTTTTTTTTTTGTTGAAGTTCTCCCGTTTTAGGGAAGGCAAAGGGAACAATGCCCATACAGCCTGGTCTTTAATAAAATTAATCTTCTTTTTGTTTTTACATTAGAATGTCAGTGTGACGCATTCTAATGTTTCTTGGAGTGTTTGGCACGAAATGTATCGAGTTGGCTTTTTCGATAAGCTTCTGTGAGGTAGTCAACACTACAATAAAATTCTCACGTCCACTTGACCGGAATAGCGTATATTTTAACGATTCCACTAATTCTTCAGTTACGCAGACGGTTGTTACACAAAACCACACCAATTTTATTTCACAATATCCACTATGAACGAATTTAAGAATAATTAAAATAAGACGCCAAGCGCACTCGATGAACTCCCGCCAAAAACTTCTTGGGCTGTGACTCACCACTAGTGTTGCCAGGTGTCCCGATTTGCGCGAGACGTCCCAATTTTCAGGGGTCTGGGGACGCGTCCCGATTTGTACCTGATCAGGACGCTAAATGTCCCGATTAATCAAAAAATGAAATTTAGGTAATTATTGGTGTCGATTCTGGCACGATTATTTAAACCTAAACTTAAATTTCATAACAGTCTATTTTTGTCATTCACTATACAGCATGAAAAGGAGCGACTGATCTTAAATTTAGTTTTAAGTTTAGAGAATCATGCCAGAATCGACACCAATATAATACTTTACTTCTACTAGTAGTTCAAAACGCAATAAATTGAAGCCAGACTTAAAACCCCCTTGTTTTTTGTTGACTGTCCCGATCTGCAACCCTAAATCCCGATTTTTTTGACCTAATGTACCGATTAAAAACAAATCGCACCTGGCAACACTACTCGAAGCTCGATGGCGCAAGTGGTTAGCGCGTTCGGCTACGATCGTTGAAGTTAAGCAACTTTCGCAGTGGTCGGTCATTGGATGGGTGACCAAAAATTTTCTATCTCGAGCTCCTCCGTGCTTCGGAACGCACGTTAAGCCATTGGTCCCGGCTGCATCTGCAGTCGTTAGCACCCACCAATCCGCACTGGGCCCGCGCGGTGGGTCATGGCCCAATCTCCCTATTCCATCTATAGGGAAGGCCTGTGCCCTAGCAGTGGGGTCATTAATAGGCTGATGATGATGATGAACACTACTCACCACACAGGCCCAGTGCGGATTGGTGGGTACTAACAACTGCAGATGCAGCCGGGACCAACGGCTGAACGTGCCTTCCGCTAATAATAAAAAACTTTTGTTTACCCATCCAATAACTGACCACTACAAAAGTTACTTCAACTATCGCAGCCGAACGCACTACACTCATCTTAACATGGTATATCTCTCAGTTACCCCACTTTCCCATAACACAAGCCTTACACAGTGCTTACTTGCCAGCATTTGGGTAAGGTCAATCGGTGTAATTGTTACAAAATAAATATCAATTCATCTATTTATTCTCTCTTCCAGTATATAGCCTCATTCGACGAGGATGGTGAACAGGCCCCTGGTTGGAGACGCGTCGGCCCCGAGGGTCTGGTGAACCTGGAGAAGGTTTACCGCACGCAGGCGGTGATGGACCACATAGCGAGCTTCCATCAGCACCATTACGCGTTGGGCAGGACTAATGCACCAATTTTTGGGGAGTACCTAAGGTGATAACATTAAGAATTGCAGATAAGTCTTCATATCTTCGTTTTATCAGCAAACAGGCGATCATGGACCACAGAGCAAGCTTCCATCAGTACCATTTCGCGTTGGGGAGGACTGATGCACCAATCTTCGGAAAGTACCTTAGGTGATAACATTAATAATTGCAGATTAGTCTTCATATCTTCGTATCAGCATACAGGCGGTGCTGGACCACATAGCGAGCTTCCATCAGCACTACTACGCGTTGGGTGGAACAAACGCACCAATCTTCAGGGAATACCTAAGGCGATGTCATAAAGTATTAGAAATATGTCTTCATGTCTTCGTTTTACGCACGCAGGCCCTTTCAGCTTCCATCAAGACCACTAAGTGTTAAGTAGACGCAGCAATCTTCTGGTGATAACATTAAGAATAAGGGTAATGACGGGGTACAGTAATTGAAATTCTATTTAGTCCGTCAGTTAGATGATCAAAAAATAATGGACACGTATTTTTTCTTTGGGCAATCAACCAAAAAATGACAAAGTTATAGCGCGTCAAAGTTTGGGAGTAGGGGCTCGTGACGTCACTTTTTAGTGAATATTCGCTTAAAAGTGTACTCAAACGTGACGTCATGCGACTTTTCAAATCAATATATTATCTCTGCAATGTTTATATTACGTGAAAAGAGAAAAAATACGTGTCCAATACTTTTTGATATCTACCTTATAAACGAAGAAAAAAAAATTAGTCATCATCCCTATTTCAGATTACTCTTCATAATATACTCGTATGTGAATAAAACAGCTTCACGGGGTAGGTAATAACGTTAGGAACTTAGGATGTGATACTGAAAGAAAAGCTGCATACAATTCTTGTATGTCTCCTACTTTCCAAAGAGATGCTAAGCGACTTTCACGGGGTTCAACCATAGGACCATTTCTTATGCCGGTAACGCAAATCCCTCATGTCTTCTGAAGCGCACCCGTCTTTCAGAGCAGCAATGTCTTCGTGTGAGGAGCCGGTCTTCTCCCAGTCTTCCCAGAAGACCAGCGGCTGTGACTTCGAGAACGAAGCACTATATGAACTGGAAGGTGGGGGGTACTGTCCCGTCCAACCTTTACCACATGACCATGGGGTGACGATGTTCCCTTTGGCCCCACAAAGTGGGGAACGGATAGACAGGCACGTATTACAGGTGAGTCCCTATTTATCTACATCCTAAAGACAAAACTTTGATGTATTAATTGCCAATGTTAAATTCACTAATGTTACCTAAGTAAGACTATGTTAATTCTCCGGGGTTACATGAGACGCATATGATTGTTATTAATCAATGTAATTTTAAGATGCACGATTGGCATTTTGACTTGGCCGGGTTTTTTTTTGAGTGTGTATGCTGTTGGTCGCAAATGACCTTTATGCGTTCACCGGGTTTAAGGACGGCGAGATCCTAAGGCGACCTCAAGCCGAGAATTGGCGAATGCCTCTAAGGGTATTCCAGGAGGATGGCATCTCCCTACGGGGGGAGTCTCCTCTCCGTCTGGAGCCCCTAGACCACTCGAACCTGAGGAGGACTTATCCCGCCTCTTAGGCCATTGTATGTATATCGGACAGTGGAAAAGCAAAGCTCCCTACGGGGGGAGTCTCTTCTCAGTCTGGAGCCTCTAGACCACTCGAACCTGAGGGGGTCGGCTCAACTAGAGGGCGTCTCCGAGACTCGGGCCTCGGCTCTAGTTAGCCGTTGTCGTGGGTGGGGCACTGTGGATTTGTACACATCTGGATCTGTCTATTATTCTATTATCTTCGGTCTATTATTATTTGTGTAGATAATGCACCACGGCACCGCGTGCGTGGTGGGCGAGGCGGAGTGGGGCGGCGCGCTGGCTCAGCTGCGGCTGGAGCGCGCCTGCGCCCTGTTAGTGTGGTGCCGGACGCAGCACATGCCGCATGCGCAACACGGTGCGTATCTTAAGCCGGGTCTCCAGCACGATGCAGCTTTGAAACCGGTTTCAAAAATACCGGTTAATAAAGGTTAATACCGGTTTTTAGTAAAGGTTTTGTTCGGAGCGCGTCCGAAATGAAAGCGGTACTATCGCGGAATTTCGCGCTCTGTCACTTGGCGAACAAAATGCTTTGAACGGTTTTCTACAGTAGTTTTTACTACGCCCCGCCTTCGCGTCGGACGCGCCAATCCGGCCCGCCGCACAAAAGTAAGACAGAGAACATTTCATTGATTGAATAATGAATTGAATTGCATTTGTTTTAGTTGCAATTTGTCATCCGCATCGTGATCGCGACAGCGCTATACGAAAATGTAAGACAGCGATAATTACATGTCTATGAATGAATTTTTACTACGCCGCTACCGCAAGCAATTATGGCATTATGGGTGACAGAGCGAGTCTTTCACTGGTAAACGAGGTACACTCGCACCTAAAAAAATAATAAACCGGTTTAATCCAGAGCGACACCTGCACGCGTCGGCATCGCTTGTAGTTTGTTTTGTTTGAACTAATCAAGTCACATCTTGTTATTGCTCAAAGATTGATGCATTTATTGACGTTTGCTAGCGGCTAGTGAGTCAATTTATTCATTTTGTAGTTGAGTATTTATTTCAGCCGCCAGTAAGAGCGAAATGAAACCCCTTTAAAATCCGCTAAATTGATTCAAAACCTATTTGATTTCGCTTTTTAAGAAAAACGGTTTTTTTAAGGTTAAGGTAGAGCCAAACTTAAATAAAACGCTCCTAATGTACTTGACACTGATATAGGTTTGAAAATTTAACCGGTAAAGAAGCCCTGCAATGAACAAAATCGTCTACACAAAACTTTGTTTCACTACACAAATTTGTTTGCATCAACAATGTTTTTGCTTATTGAGGCTTATGGAAAACATTTACACAAATCCCCCCGCGCGGGTCGAGGGGCAGGGTATTGTTTCATCGCTAGCGGGGGCTTCGTTCAATTCAATTCAATTCAATTCAATTCAATTCAATTCAATTTATTGCAGTCATGTGGTTACATGGATGGTTACAAGTTACAAAATGCATAAAGTACCTAACATGAACCCTGTCAGGGTATCGCAATATAGATAAAAATTACAAAAGAGAATTTAACAAATAAACAATTATCTATATAATGAAGAACCTAATATTTATTAAACAACTTTTTTTTCTCAAAGCATGCATAAATGTCATCTGATTTCATTAATTTTATAACTTACTCAATTGATCTTATTTACAGTACTAGTTTAATTTTGTAATTATTATTATGGAAATTCTTTTATAAAATTAAATTTGTCAATAATTAAAATTAAAAAATATGTCAATAAAAATAAAATAATATGTCAATAAACATGATTATATAATCTAGGTTTGTATTTTAAAGATCGCCTCATTAATATTATTTTGTTGCAAAGTATTCATCTATGGTGTAAAAGCATTTATCTAATAAATATATTTTCAATTTTATCCTAAATTGGTTAAAATGTTTTTCGTTTTTTATGTGAGCGGGTAATTTATTATAAATTTTTATACACATATAATATGGACTGCTACTAAGTTTTCTCAATCGAGATGGTGGTAAATATAATCGATTTTTGTGCCGTGTATTTATATTATGTGTTTCGTTAACTTTTTTAAATACGTCTAAATTTTGATGTACGAATAGTGATACGTCTAGGATATATATGGATGGTAAAGTCAGGACTTTGTATTTTATAAAATATGGTCTGCAGCTTTCCGTATTGTCTATGTGGGCTATGATACGTATACATTTCTTTTGCATTATAAAGAGCTCGTTAGCAGTTGTGCCGTTTCCCCATAGCATTATTCCGTACCTTAGCCATGAATACGCATATGCATAATACGCAGATAACGCCGTGTCTATATTTGTACATTGTTTTAATTGATAAAGAGCATATGTGAACTTAGCAAGCTTACATTTAGTGGATTCTACGTGGGACTTCCAATTTAAGTGCGTGTCAATGGTCATACCGAGCAAATTAAACGATTCTACAGTTTCGAGATCTGCGTTTCGATAATTAATTTTTAAATTTATAGGAGGCTTCCCGTATGATCTAAACTCCATAATTTTAGTTTTTTCGTTATTAATTTCTAAATTATGATTTTGTAACCAAAGCGTTACTAATTCCAGGGTTTCGTTTGTTATTTGACTCATATTACCAACACTATTACTTTTTATTAAAATTGATATATCGTCGGCAAAAAGTACAGGTTGTACAGATTCGCTAATCAAAAATTTAGGTAAGTCGTTTATGTAGGCTAAGAATAGCATACATCCTAAAACGGTCCCTTGTGGTATAGAGCACGTTAAATCCATGATCTCCGACTGTATTGTTTGGATTACAGTTGTATCCATATCATGATGCAGGATTTCCACGATTTGTTTCCTACTGTTGAGGTAAGACTGAAACCAAAGGTACGCCGGACCTCGTATACCTGAATTATATAGTTTCTGAAGCAATATACTGTACGACACCCTATCGTATGCCCTTGTCATATCAAGTAACAAACCTATAGAATATGCTTTATCATTGACATGTTGAATGGCCATTTGAATGAATTTAAACACTGCGGTAGTGGTGGATTTAGATTTTCGGAAACCATTTTGGCAATCATCCAATATCTTTTGCTTTTCAAAAAAATTGTTTAAGCGAATGAGCATTGCTTTTTCATAGACCTTGGAGAACGCGGGTAATAGGGCTATTGGCCTATAATTGTTAAGGTTGGTTTTGTCTCCTTTTTTGTAAAGGGGTTTTCCAAACTTAGGTACTCCGAGTACAACCGTTCACTCTGACGTTTCAGTTTTGACATAAGATTTACATATTTTGTCAAATTTGACATTTGTTGAATAAGGGCTATTATAAAGTTGATGATTATCTAAATGATCGTAATGCATGGACATAGTGTTTCTTATAATTTGTTATTAAATGGGTATTAGTCATTTTTCATAACAGTAATATTGTACCTATCTAATGCCGCTTCCTATATACTAAATATAATGTTAACTATAAAATTAATTGTAACTATATATTTATTAATTACAGTGACTTCAGACGTATTTCTGAACTCATTTTTCAACTTGACGACTCTGTATATAACAATACAGGGAGAAAAAAAACAGCTCTTGCTGAGTTTCTTGCCGGTTCTTCTCAGTATAAGGTCTCCCGCCGTAGTTTTGCGAACAGATGGCGTAGCTTCTTGACCTTCACAAGTGCTTGTAACAGCCTAGACTGAATGAAATGAAACTTTTCGTTTCATTTCACTTGGATTATATTTTTTGAACGTAGCCCTGTGTATTTTGGGTACAGCAGCCACGTGAGCAGTAGACGGCGTGTGTAGAGAAACATGTTTCAGAAACAAAGTTTTGTGTATGTGTTTTTGTTGTGTTGTTAAAAAACTTTTGCTGGTGACTCGGCATTACTTGCCATCTTTCATTTATTCACACAATGGTGTTAAGAATCGGCAAATTAATTATAAATATAAATATTTTCAACACTCACACCAATTAGCCTAGTCCCAAAGTGAGCACTATAAGGCTTGTGTTATGGGATACTAGAGTAACGGATAGAATACAAATATTGTACATATATATAAGTATATTTATATAGAAATACATATCAAACATCCATGACTGGAGTACAAATGCTCGTATTCATAACACAAACATCTGCCCCCACCGGGATTCGAACCCGGGACCTCTCCAGTCAGCGACACCATGAAACCCGGCGTATAAACCACTCGGCCACGGAGGTCGATAATTATAATGCTTTGTTAAGTAAAATGGATGTTTATTTTATATTATTAACTCGCAACCGTTGTATTAATTTTAAGCTAAATGCTCATCCTTATTGCCACAATTTACGGTTTTTTTCTTCAAAATTCAAAACTTCTTATTCAGAATTCAAAAATACAAAATTCAATATCGTTTATTCAGTCTAGGCTGTTACAAGAACTTGTGAATGTCTAAAAGCTACGCCATCGATTCGCAAATCTACGGCGGGAGACCTTGTACTGAGAGGAACCGGCAACAAACACAGCAAGGACTGTATTTTCTCCCTGTATTATATACAGAATCGTCAAATTGAAAAATGACTTCAATATGAGGTAACTGATGAAGTCACTTTCCATTACAAATATAAATGATATAAAAATTATGGCTATAAAATAAAAAAATATAAAAAAATGATTTAACAAAGTTTAAGTTTAGAAATGTTTAGGAATGCCATGTCCTACTGTTTAGGCATAATTAATATTTTTTTAATAATATATTATTTAAAAGCACAAAATGGATTAAAACTACTTAATAAACTAAATACTTATATCAAACTAAAAATAAAACTATATTATGTAAAAAAATCGACCCCAAATCGCTGCGCTCGCAGGGTAGGATGCCCAAGAGGCTGGCGGCATTTCCCCGTTGAATGGCCAGGCTCAACCTTTGTCCGAAATGTGCGTGTGGACCACGGTGGTGTGGACTGAGAGATCTTTTCAAAAAACGCATCCAATCACAACCAAATTATAAGAGGATTTAGGAAATAATTGCGAAAACTTAATGGTAAGGTATAAAATTTGTGAAACCTAAACAAAGAAAATTAGAACTAATTAACTGGATCACTCAATCTGGACACCTGATGAATAAGCCATAACGCGTATCCAAGAAAATACTACCTATGTGTTTATAATATTGTATTTGAAATAATTGTGAAGAATTTGTGAAAGCTGCTAAACAAATTTTCGATTCATTTCAAAGCCACGTTTAAGATTTAGAACGGTTTATATGGATCACTCAGAATGCACTATGTTCATTTGAGTGATCTTTTAAAACACTAACTTATACTGAAAAAGTATGAAACATTATCATGTTTATTATAAATTATGCTTCTGGGAAAATTTGTGAAACAAAGATCGGGATTGAAATCTTACTGGTTTAAAAGAA